CGTCTTTTCTTCATTCAAAGCTACAGTGTTGTTGTATCGTTTACGATCCGCCACAGGACAACAAGCCATTTACATCTGTAGTCCTGCGAAATCATGCTGGCTCTTGCCCTAATCTGGGCAGGCCAGCTGCACCAAGTTTCGCATCAATCTCCTCTAAATGGTCGAGAAAATGACCCTGCAAATCGTCCCAAAAATCTCCCTCGTACCCTGGAATGTCTAATGGGATGTTAGCACGAGACTGTAGATACCGCGAGAGAAAGCAAGATTTCGACTCACGCTTAATGGAGGGATTGCGCTCCAGCGCATATTTTGTTAGACTGAAATGATTATTCAGGTGAAACATGAAACTCAGCGCGTCTTTGCCCGCAATCTCGGTCGTCAATGGTTGCGTTGTCGCTTGTTTCCACGCTTTATACGCATCCCCGTGAGGCATGTATGAGTTTTCGCAGCTGAGACAGCCCTCTTGTACGTCACGGACAGACCCGTGGTACTCGCCGTAAATCATGCCGAGCATCTCTGTTGACATGTTCCGATGATAATATGGCGGCCTATACGTATCAAGGGCCGTGATATGCTTTGCCGTATATACTGCAAATTCCGAGAGCGATATTTTAGGTGTTTTAGACTTAGCTATAAGGACAGTGTAGATAGTAGGATCACACTGCTCTTTCATAGCACATGCAAGTGGCACAAACTTCTCCATGTGGTATTTGAAGGGAACGTAACTGCCATGCCATGCAACGACGTCGAAAGGGGTGTGGTTCTGCTTGTACGAGAAGAGATCTCCTGTAAGCTTATATATAACTGGAAACATTGATCAGTTCTCCTGAACGAGGTTCCGACAGCCATTTTAATGAGAATACTGACCTTCCCACTTTGATTGATCCAGATCAAACGATGCGACAGGATATTCGAAATCCCGAGGATGTGCGAGGCCGTTTGAACCTATGACACCGAGATCTGGGAGCTCAAAGTGTGATCCAAAGACTTCATGAACATAGCCCCTTGACTTGCCATCAGGTAGTGATACCTTCCACTTTAGCCCAGCTTGAATGACACATAGTTCTCCAGGTTTTACCATCAGCCGTCCTAATTCAGTCTGAATATCAAGCCTTCCAATCTGGGGTAAAATCAAAAAGTCTCCATCATTATTGCAGAAAGCTTGATTGTTCATAGAAGCATTGCAAGCATACATATGCATTGCCAGACCCTCTTTTAGCGTCGGGTCGCCCCAGCCACCAATCGTCTTCAGGCCCTGAATAAAGGTCATCTGCTCGTGATCTTCTGGCCACTCCAACGGACCCCATTCATATGTCAATGGTGTGAACTGCACATTTGGGTTATGTTTGGAGAAGCAAGCTTCGATCTATCATGTGTAAGCTTGGCAATGGTCTTCGACTCCCGTTACTCAGGACAGTTACGATGCCATACATCGGGTGTTGGGGCCACTGGCCGAGGTCTTGAATGTGCAACTGAAGGTCGGATTCTGTACATCCAGACATGCTGCAAAGTATCTCTGTACGATACGAATGGTGTGCCATTGAGTTGTTCCGAATAGAGATCGTACGGGCATTTTTGAGGCACATTCCGACCGGGTTCAGGAAGGGCATCGGGACTACAATGAAAAGGTTAGTTGTTTGATACCCACAAAGACTCTTCACTTACACAGCTTCAGTGGAAAAGTAGTTTCCAAATCCAAGTTGGTATCTGTACGGATCGTCTTCCCCTTTTGGGATTGTTGTGCGTGACCCACGCGCCGAAGCCCCAAATTTGGTGCTTCTCGCCTCTATTACGACAATACCAGCATCGCCCATTTTCTTGAATGGTAGTGACTTATTGGATTAGGAAAAGAAAAGACTTATTGCATGGTGATGATAGTTGAGGCCTTCGCTAACTCAGGGGCTCGTTTATCAGATCTTCTTGGTGCTTACCGGCAGGCAAAGGTCAAAGAAAAGAGCTACCCCCGGCGAGTCCGCTCCCTGGAAATCCCTATCGTAGCGGGCTGAAGAACTCCTTCCGTTGCCCCTGCGAATTACTTCCCATTGATTAAGCCACCTGAGCCCGCCTACAGCAGTGGCAGCTCTAAGCCGGCCGCCGGCCGGCAACATTCTCACAACTTCAGTAAGCCGGATTCGGCATCTCCACCTAGACGCTCTAGCTTCAGGCACTACTGAAAGGTCTCCACTTGTAACTTAGCAGTGAGATAAGGAATATTCAGAGGCACTTCTGGACCGCCGACCAATTGATTGTTAGGTAATTTGGCTTCATCAGCCTGGCCCAGCACTTTGGACTGTCGGAGCCGATGGTTGACGCGAGGATCGATTCGGTGCGCGCGTTCCGGATTGATTCGCCATAGTTGCATTCATCAAGACACTCGAAGAAGGTACTTGGTAAGACTGCATTTGTGGCTAAACCCGAAGGCTAAACACCATTCAGCAAACCCTCCAAGGTTACACTCAAGTCACCGGTTGGAGACAACTTCAAGCTTCATTATTGAGTCCCCAAGTCTAGTGCCAAGTCTCAACCCTGGACACGATGGCTGTATTGGATGTCATCCATTTTGTATTACAATCGCCTATCCGGGTGGGTGCCGTACTGATTCTTCTCGGTTTGTTACTGGCGAACTTTGTGAGAAGGTTTCATACAAAATATCCATGTCCTCTTCCACCGTCTCCTCCAGCCGAGCCATTCCTTGGTCATTTTCGGAGCTTGCCGCTTGAAAATGCGCATCTGCAACATATGCAATATGCAAAAAAGTACAGTAAGTCGGTGGGATAAGATTTTGGTCATGCCTTTTTTACCCATGCGCTGACCAGATTCGTTTTAGACTCCGATGTGATCTATTTCAATGTTCTGGGTAATCACATGATTGTGTTGAATAGTCAAAAGGCTGCAAATGAAATTCTTGATAAACGTGGTGCCATTTATCAGGACCGTCCTCGTTTCGTTTTATTTGATGTCATGGGATGGGGACTCACGTTGACGTTTCTGCCATACGGCCCACGGTTCAAGTTACACCGCTCTGTTCTTCAAACAGGTTTTACAAAGAGTGCAATTACCAACTACCGACCGATCCAAGAGGACGAGGCCAGACAAGCTGTGGCAAGAATTCTGAAGAGTCCAACCAACTACGATTATTCACTGAGGCGGTTAGTCCTACTACATATTGTGACTCGAATTTGTCTAATATCCTCCAAGATTTGCTTCATCCATTGTTCTTAGAATCGGGTTTGGTGTCACTGTGAAGTCTGACGACGATCCGTACATCAAGATTGCGACAGACGCCAATATGGCCACAGCAAAGGGCGGCAACCCCGGGACTACGCTTGTTGATTATTTACCATCATGTAAGAATCGAATGGTGTTTTATTCAAGATGCATCTGAGAGACTGACACGGGTAGTCCGGTTCATCCCCGAGATTCTGAATTTCTCTACAACTCTTCAACATGCCAGGGCTTGGCGGTGGGCCATTAAGAATCTTCACGATATTCCCTTCGCCTCTATTAAAAAAGAATATGTTAGTCAGGTCTCTCAATTTTATTTCTAGGTGCCCTATTGCTAAACAGTATCAGGAACAAGGTACGGCAAATCCGTCTTTTGCTTATTCACTTTTGAAGAAGTACGACGAAAATGTGGAGAAAGGTATTCCAAACCACTTCACAATGCAGGATATTCAGGGCGCGTCAGGGTCAGTCTTTATTGCCGGCTCGAATACCGTAAGCTCGCTTTCTTTAAAAGAGACATTACAATCGTAGGTACTGACGGCGAATCAGACTTTGGCAACGACAACAGTCGCTCTTCTCAATATGATGCAGAACCCAGAAGTGTTCCAAAAGGCTAGGGCCGAAATAGATCAAGTCGTCGGCACAGATAGACTTCCAGCCCTCTCTGATCGTCCGAAATTGCGTTACATCGACTACATAGTTGAGGAAACAACAAGATGGCGACCACTATCGCCTATTGGGATCCCACACAAGTCACTTAAAGATGACATATATAACGGGATGTTCATTCCTAAAGGGTAAGTCCTTCTGTCATGCCAACTAATCATGCATCGCTCAGATTAATTAGAACCTACGTCTACTATAATACCTATGCCATGAGCCGGGATACAAACGTTTATAAAAACCCCGAGGCTTTCAATCCTGAGAGGTTTACACCCAAAGAAGAAGGCGGGGATGGAGAACCGTTCCTGGTTGGACCATTTGGCTTTGGACGCAGGTAAAGAGTCCTTCACTTCGTAACCTGGGATTGGAGATTGCGTTAACTCTTGATAGGATTTGTGTTGGCCGCCATCTTGCGCAGGCTTCAGTCTGGATCATCATGGCGACTATGATTGCAACGCTTGATATTTCAAAACCAGTTGGCTTAGATGGCAAGCCTGTAGAACAGAAAATCGTTTTTAGCACAGGTCTTTCCAGTCATCCGGGCAAATTTGAAGTGTCTTTCAAACCAAGATCAGATAAAGCCGCAAGGTTACTCGCAGAAGCTCAAGGAGATAAGGAATAGATTATGTTGCATGTATTATAGCACAGCTAATCGTCATGAGAAGTCTTTGGGTGCCTTAGCAATGGTAGACAGAAGATAAATATGTCGTATATTTAACCATTAAGTACGTACAGTCGTATGAAGCATTCATTGGACTCTGGCAGTGGATAGACATTACTTGCAAACAATGAATTCTTGCAAGGGAAAAAGGGAGTGGAGGGAAGATAGCAGGTAGAATAAGAATTTATCCTCTGGTAGCGACCAGATAATGTTTGATGTCGTTGATCAGGAACTAGAGAGTAGTTGTTGGCATAGATCGACTCAACTACAAGCTGTGCTTCTAGTTAACTTAGGTCCAGCTTGAACGACTTTAGTTTAATACACTCGTCTAAGCAGTTGCACTTAAAGTGGTTGCATTCAATATTGATCTCACTGGCACGCTGTTCCATATAAGAGCTCTGATTCGTTGCTCTGTGTGACTAACTCCTTTCTCCTTTCCTATGCAGCATGATCACTTTGACGACATCGTAACTAGTGGATCTACACCCACCTTCTGCGCCTCCTCATTCAGAGCATCTATCTCCGCCTGTACTAGAGGAATCCCACTTTTTTCCCTCTCTTGCTGTGAGAGCTGCTCGATCTCGCCAGGAAAATAGATGCGATCTACTCCCGCAGCCTTCTCTGATCCGGTGACTCGCTGGTACAAGTAACCCATCCTGTCTCTGAATTGATCCAGACTCATGAAGAGATCTGGCTTGATAGCAACGAGAAAATGGCCAACATCAGCAGGTTTAGACGGGTCGTAGGGACCCGTAACATTTCCGGCAAAGGCGGAACCAGATAGAACACCCGAAAAGACGTCCATCATAATAGATAGCCCTGAGCCTTTCGGCCCGCCCATTGGCAACATGACACCCCCAAGAGCGGCAACTGGGTCATCTGTAGGCTTTCCCTCAGCGTCGAGTGCCCAGTCTAATGGAATCTTCTCATTCCTTCGTTTTGCTTTGTATATCTTGCCACGTGCTGCCACCGACGGGGCCATATCAAGAATGAAAGGATTATTATCTTTTCCCGGCGCTCCGCAAGCGATAGGTGATACACCCATGAGCTTACTCTTGCCGCCCCAAACTGGCAGAGCAGGGCTTGAGTTGGTGAATACCAAGCTCATCATGTCAGCCTCAATTGCCTGTTGAACTATCCACGCAGACATCCCGAAGTGATTTGAATGTGCCACACTTGCCATGCCGATACCATACGTGCGGGCGGATTCAATAGCAGCCGCCATACCGGCGTGGGCGGCAAGGAAACCGAAGGCATTGTGCCCGTCCACATGCGCAACCACTGGAGTCACCTGGCGGACTTCCGGTTGTGCATTAGGACTGAGAACACCCTGCCGAATGCGTTCCATATACGATGGGATACGATTCATACCGTGTGTATCCACGCCACGGAGATCCGCTGCTACAAGGCAACGAGCAATTATGCTGGCATTGGCAGGAGGCACCTTGTTTGCGGTCAGAACGGCTTCAACAAATCGACGAGCTTCGGATGCTTGAACATGAGTCTTCAGAGACTCGCTAGCTTGGGCGTTGTCCGCCATGCTGATGTAGTGTGATTTGTAGTATGTGGTGTGGCGCAACTCAACAACTGACTATGAAAATGACGACCCCCTTTGCAACGAAGGCACTCGTTGTGAGCGCACTATGCTATGCAAAGTCTAGCGCAGCTTTCGAAAGACTGGGGATTCCCCTTTAGTCGAGTAAAGAGTGTATTGTGCCGGCATGAGTTCGCAAGATCCTATTATAGCAGACACGGGCAGCGACCTTCAGGAAGAAGGTCTTTGGGACGGGCCAGTTCTTGTGACGAGGTGGCGCGGAGATTCCCCGTTAGCCTTTCGGGGCTTTTCCGCGCTAAGACTGCATGACCCTTCCAGAATTCGACTTTCTCCCCGCCGCAATTGTGTTCTCCTTTTCTCAGCATTCACGGATTAAGTCCATCATGCCCGAACCCGATGGGCGAGCGGCCTCTCGAGGCCAGATACAGAAGAATACTCCGCGGCGGAGGAATCCGCGCCTTCGTCTCGCCTGCCAGCGATGCCAGCGGCGGAAGATCCGAGTCAGCTACCCGCATCCCTTCGTGTCCGCCCGCATGCAAGTCTTAGAGCGCTAACACGAACATTACTAGTGCGACGGAGGATACCCTACGTGCACCAACTGTAAGAAGGCATCGGCAGTATGCACAGACGGAGAGAGTCTTCGCCTTCGAGACTTCCCACGGCAGTAAGTTCCTTTCATCGTTTGGCAGTCATTGGGGCTGCACACCCTGGAGTCCGTCTCTGAATTGTTGTTAGGGCAGGGCCTAGCCTAAGAGCCCGTCTCGCGTGGCTGGAATCCGTCGTCAAGTCCCGCCTTCCCGAGCTCGACCTCTCTCAGGGGCCACCCCTTGACGCAGCCGACGATGAAGATGAGCTCGAGCCAGATGAATTTGGACCGGTTGGTGACTCAACGCGGCACCACGTTGACGGCGTAGACACCCACCAAACCAATTCCTCGTCATCGAATGTGCAGCCAGTGCAGAATGGCCTACCTGTATTGCCCTTAGGGGCGCCAACTGATTCACTTTCACACGAGATCGGTCTGGTATCACTCGGCACAGATCAATACCCGCGATACATCGGGCCATCTAGTGGGTACTTTCTTGCTCGCGTACTTCTTACGGCGACAACATTGCGTGAAGAAAGACTTTCCAATCCTACTCGGACTGGAGAAGGCACTGCTACCCCATTTCCCTGCGACTTGGTCGAAGCCGTCCAAGCACCATTGCCCTTGCCTGTGAGAAACCATGCAGAGCAGCTTTGTGCCGCTTATTTCAACGCCATTCATGTCCAATACCCCTTGCTTCACGAGCCAACCTTCATGAAAATGCTCGATCAGATGTATGAGCCGGGCGACTCGGAACCGATCGTTGCATTCCACGTGTACATGGTTTTGGCCATTGGCGCCGTCATTCTTTCACAACGTCATAAGGCTCGTATCCCGGGCGAGTCATATTGCCTATCTGCTCTACAGTATTTTGATCAGCTTAATGTCAAGAACTCTCTTCAGGGCCTGCAAAGTCTCTTGCTGCTTGCTATATTCGCAATCCATAGTCCTTGCACAAGGCTGAATGTTTGGTATCTGAACTACCAGTGCATTGCTGCCGTACTTGATCTTGGACTTCAGCGGGCCATTGGCACGAACCGTGGCATCTCATTTGTGGAACAGGAACTTAGAACCAGAGTGTTCTGGGTCGTCTTGATGATGGACCGGACTATCGCGACAATGATGGGACGGCCAATTGGGCTTCGAGATGAAGCCTGTGAGTTACGCGTTAGTGCCCATCTCAGCCAACATTGTAGGCTGTAGCTAACAGTCTCGCAGCTTCCCCAAGATGTCGACGATTGGGACCTCGCGGCATCAAACGTATCGCAATCTCCATCATGGAGAGCTGCAAGCCGAATCGCTTTCTCTATTCATCTCTTCAAGCTTGTCAAACTCAACTCCGAAATCAAGTACATTGCCAACAGCATTGTTCGTCAGGCGCCGCGATACGCTTATCCCGTGGTTGTTAACTATCAAGAGTGGCAGAACAGCACACTTGAACAGATTGATCAATGGGCTAGAGATATTCCTGACCCAGCAGAGCCCGATCGTTACATTCACTTAATCTGCCAGATAAACTACCATAGTTTGAGAATGTTGCTCTTGCGCCCAAGCCCGGCCATACCGAATCCTTCCGTTGAAGCCCTGAAAAGTTGCCATCACAGCGCATGCCAGACTCTCAACCTGTACAATCAACTGTATAAGTACAATCTACTTGTACATAGCTGGCTCACATTTCACTCTCTTGTGATGAGTACTATCACAATGCTCTACTGCATAAAGATGGTACCTGATATTGCTCGGGACACTGAAATTGAAGTATTGATGAGAGATCTCAGCATCAGTTTGAGCATTATTAGCGCCACTGGGGAGCACTGGTCTGGTGCAAAGCGGAGTCGAGACATTCTTGATGACCTCGCTCAGTCAACTATTCGCCGAATAAAGAACATCCATGCTGGTGTGTCTGCTGGGAATACAAATACTCAACGGGCTGATCATGCGTCATTTGGAAACCAGTTATCTACAACAATGCTGGGTGGCGGTTCGGAGTCTGTTGCTACAAATGCAGGAGTCACTGCCAGTGTGTGCAACCCGGCCTTTCTTGACAGTCTGCAATTGCCACAAGAGGATACCACCGGTCTGTTGTATCCAATGCAAGACCCCTTTGAGGGACTATTGGCTAGCGGGGCATTTGGAGACCAGCTCGTTAATGGAGACTCATCAAATATGGATAGCATAGTCCGCAGCCTGTTCGAAGACTTTATCCCGACGCACTCATTATTCAACTAATCGCGCCACAAATTGATGTGTGTCACTTGTTACACCAGGCGAGTCATCAAATTGGGTATATTATCTTGCTCAATTGGGCCATTTTGCAGTCAGAAAGTCAAAGTCGCCGCCGTCCTCTGCCTGTTTGACCGAGCGCATATACAATCCGCGGTAGCCTCTTGTCGAGTCTCGCTTGATCCATGGAAGAGCATCTGCACTACCTGCAGCGTTCTCGACAGCTTTTCGTCGCTCTTCTACTCGCTGTTTTAACTCGGACTCTGAGATATCAAGGTTCAGCAACCTCTGTTCGACGTCGCACACAATCACATCACCATCCCTGACAACTCCCAACACAGAGCGTGGATCTGCTGCCTCGGGGGATATGTGAAGAACAATTGTTCCACCTGCTGTACCACTCATTCTACCATCAGATAACCGTAGCATGTCCTGCACGCCTTTGGCCGCTAATTTGCGTGGGATCGGGATCAGCCCTGCCTCTGGCATTCCTGGATTCCCAATGGGCCCGATATTCTGGAGAACGAGGACACTATCAGGCGACACGTCTAAGTTTGGGTCGTCAATACGGCGCGCCAGGTCTTCGGACCCAGAAAACACAACCGCTGTGCCGGAGTGTCGCATAAGCCGCTTGTCCTTCGACGCGCTTGCCTTCATGATTGCACCTCCTGGTGCCAAATTACCTCTCAGAACAACCAGAGATGACGATGGGTATAGAGGGTTGGTGAACGGTTGGATACAAGATAGCTCTCGTGGAACTGGAATGAATGTTGCCCGAGACATTTCCTCGCCCAATGTGTTTCCTGTCACGGTCATAGCATTGAGGTGAAGAAGCGGCTTGATCTCATGTAATAGCGCAAGCATTCCGCCCGAGTTGTGGAAGTCTGTCATATAATTGTCGCCACTAGGCTTAAGGTCAACAACCAATGGTGTTTTCCTTCCAATCTCGTCGATGGTGTCCAGGGAAATCGTGGATGCAACTTTGGGATGGCGACCAATTATGGCCATTAAATGTACGATTGCATTGGTCGAGCCACCAATGGCTTGAAGTACAGTGATCGCATTTAGAAAGGACTCTCGGCTCAGAAGTTGCTGTGGCCTGAGTTGTTCTTTTTTGGACAATGCGGTCACGGCATTGGCCCCCGTGGCTTCTGCGATTCGTAAACGTGTTGCTGAAACTGCCGGGGCAGTAGCACCTCCAAACGGCATCAAACCCAAGCCGACGAGAATACACGCCATTGTGCTAGCAGTGCCCATCACACCGCAGGTCCCGGCAGTAGGTGCGAGCTCCTCATTGATAGCAGAGATATCTTCGATGTCTATCGTTCCAGCTCGGAAACTTGCCCAGTTGTTGCGGCAATCCGTGCAAGCTCCAATGCGAACACCTTTGTGGCTCCCAGGCATCATAGGCCCAGTCACGAGGTGTAGAATCGGCTTGTTCGCGGATAAGCCACCCATCAGTTGCGCTGGGGTAGTCTTGTCACAACCTAAATGATGTTAGTGACGCAATTTCACTGCTCCCCTTTCTGCTCTTGGGCTTTTTAGATAAAATGCGAACGAACCTCCTATCAGCACTACAGCATCGCACGGCTGAGCTCGGATCATTTCCTCTGTATCCATACTCATTAAATTTCTCAGATACATGCTAGTCGGCGAGGCAAAAGACTCGTGTATGCTGATTGTTGGGAAGTCGATTGCCAGACCTCCATTGAGTTGCACGCCGCGTTTGACGGCATCGATTAGTTGCGGGATATTGGCATGACAAGGATTGAAGCTTGAATATGTATTCACAATGCCAATAATAGGTCGGGATAAGGCATCCTCACTGTACCCCAGGGCTTTGATAAACACCTTCCGGAGGAATAAGGAGAAATGTGCATCTCCATATGAGGTGAGGCCTTGCCGAAGGCCGACCCCTCCATTAGGATCTAAAGGTGCAGCAAGGTCGTAGTCCGAATTAGGGACCTCCGCGTCTTTCAATTGGGCGATCGAGGCCATGCTGAAGGAAGCTGAATCTGGAAACAAGCTTCTTTGCACAGCAAGAGAAGTTGAACTTCTTGTAGACTGTTTGAGATGACCAATTACTTTTGGCAGATCGCTCATAGGTTGCTAGAAGAGCTATACAAGTGGAGGCAATGCGGGGGTCGGGTTTGAGCCGAGCGATGATGTGATCGAG